GATCTTTGATTTTTAGATCAGAGAAACTCATTTTGGACTTCTGACCTCTAGCACTATACAATAGAAAATTTGTCCTCTTGTAAGCCATTAAGTTTGTGGTACTTTGCTATAGCAGAATGTATCACTAATAGACTGCTACATTCTCAGGGCCTGCAATGATCCCAGGCACAAATTAGTCAACTAATAAGCATTTGTGATTACTAAACAAATTCATAGGACCAGGAAATATTATACATAGTTATCATATGAGAAATATATATATATATATATTTGTGTGTGTGTGTTTGTGTCTATGTGTTTGTGTGTGTGTGTGTGCATATTTCCCCATGAACTAAATTATGCTTATGTGGGCCTGTGGTATTAAATTTTATATGTTTTGTTAATAAAACGATTTTACTTACAAACAACAAAAATACCATTTACTTAAATATTTACTTTTCTTCTGTAGATTCTATCCTTGCAGTACTCAACGTAGGAGTTGCAAAATTGTACAGATTAATACATAATAATATTAAATTTAGTCTTAAACCCTTAAATAAAGCATAGTCTTCCATCTCACTAGTTTCTTTTTAATGTCAGAAACATCCATCCATGTACACCATGTAGAGCTTGTAAGGATTTACTTGACTTCTAGCACTTATAGATGAGTTTTTTTGTTGTTGTTGTTTTTTTTTTTTTTTTTTTTTTTTTTTTTTTTTTTTTTTTTGAGACGGAGTCTCGCTGTGTCGCCCAAAGCACAATACAAACTAAGGTAAAATAATATTGTTCTAGAAAATTTGGTGAGCCACTATCAGAAGAACTGCAGATTTTTATCAACCCCACTTTGACTATGAAACTGGCAAAGCTTTGAGCCATTGTGATGTATGTAAAAATATAAACTGTTCTTTATAGAGTTATTTCCTATCACAGAAGTACATGTTGTTATAGACACATAAGAAATGGATTATTTCCCATCTTGACATCCAAAATTGATCAGATACTATAAATCTAAACTTACAGATCATAATGTAGAAATAGGAAGAAACACTAAACATTATTTCAGAAAACATAGAAACTTCAAACTTTGAAATGAAGTACTGCTTTTTTAAGAGTTTTCTTAAAAACTCTTTTGAAATAGTTTTTCTTGTTACTTTACATATTAAAATATAAAAACAAAATAACTGTACTGTGTGCTCACCCCCATGCGTGAAAACCTTATATTTGCCATGGAATTATTAACGTGGTGGCATCAAATATTGTTACTGAATTGTAGAATAAAAGGTCTGCATATCTCTCCAGATAAACTGACATTGTATAAATGTGGTTATATTCTAAAATATTTAAAATGTTATATTAATGTGAATATATTAATCAGTAGCTCTGTCTCAACTGAGTACAGGACACTGGAATGAATATACAAGTAGAGAAAAGAAACTCAGAACTGGAAATATTAAATGGATGAGATCACGGATTTTATACAAAAAGAATAGGATTGGGTCGGGTGATTTCTAAATTCCTTTTTGAGTGTGACATTACTGTAATGAAAGACTGAGAAGAATTAATTTGTCGTAGGTGGCATTTTTAGCGTTCTTACCTGTTTCACAAAGGTGTTGCATAATTAAAAGTTACAAGCCCATGCAAGAGCTAATTCTTAGATTCAAAAGACAATTAGGAATAGGATATTTACAAGAGTAAAAAATAACACAGGTCCACTGGCCTTAATTTTAAGACAAAATATTTTACAAGACTCTTCTTGGTTAACAACAGTTATTTAAAAACTCTGTGGATGCTCTAGATTATGTCAATCATTCACTTATTAATTCATTCATCAAGTATTCATTAATTGCTTGAAATTAGTCAGTGTGCTAGTTGTATAGAAAAAGAAAAACTAATTAATGGGAAAGAAGATGTCATCAACAATGGGTTGATAAATTCAGCACATTAGAATGGACCTCACCTGGAACATTTAAGTCAATTTTTACTGCATTTGACTGTGTAGGTACTGAGAATACCATCAGATAATCTGGAACACCTACGCTCATACACCTTTAATTATGTACAAAAAGAGGTGACTAAAATAATGGACATCAAGTCTTTTGAAAAGCCCAAAGCTTAAAAAATAATGTAAAGTAAAAAATAATTTGTTAAAAGATGCTCTTTTCTAGTACCGGATAAATGTATAGGGTTTGAAATTAGAAGGCACTTAACTTATTGAAAATTTGACTTACTATCTATAGGCCATGGAGTTTTCTCAAAGTTATTTGAAAGATAAAGGAAATTTCCCACTCTGCAAAGGGGCAATTCAGTCTACATTTCTTTATTTCAGATATTTTCTTAAGAATTTAAAACCAGTTCTACTGTCATAATATGCACTATCAAAAAACCCTGATAAAGATCAACTCGAACATAAGAAACTTGGTGTTCGAGAAATGTTTAAATCCTTATATTATTCCTTAACCAGTGTAAAATAAAAAGTGACTTTGACACAATTTCTTGCTGTGAAAAGTGTTTTATGATTTCATCAAAAGATTAACCATACAGATACAAAGATATGTTTCATGCAAAAAACCTTACTTATAAAGCAGGATAGAAGATTACATGTTATGTAAGCATATTTTTCTAAACATAATAATCCTCAAAGTTTCTGATTAGATGTCAGCATTTCTTGAAAATGTAAGCAGATTAGAATTGCAAGGCTAAATCTCAATTCAGCTCTTTGCTTCCTTTTATTAGGTGAACATTGTAAACTACAATTTTTACTTATGCCTGCAGTCGACCTCATTGTATTGAAAATATTATTTCTTTCATACACAGCTTCTTAGTTTCCTTGTTAAATCTGATCTCAAGTTTTAAGTCCTATTTTCCTATGCATCACCCCACCCCAAATTGAACAACTGTACATCTAGTTACATCAGGAATATAAATATTCAGACAACATAGAAACCAAAGAAAGTAACCCTATACTAAACAATCTACTGGAAAGATTAATTTACTAATATTGATATCTTATGGATTTATTGAAAAAATTAAAGTATATATTGTTATGAATTGTTTAGCTCTCACATTTTTATACTATGTCCACTAGGGTAATCTGGAACTGCTTCTCCAGGAATGTCTTTCCCTGCCTGTTTCCTACTGAGCGTTTGGAAAAAAAAAAAAGAAAGAGAGAGAAAGAGAACTGCATGAAATTTGGAGGGCAGAAATAAAGCAATAATCACTAGTTTCTGAAGGCCATTGTTGTCAGATGAGTCAAGAGAGAAATTTGGAGCTGCTGTCAGTTTTCAGGTTGTCTTTGCTCCCCTTCATGGTGATAGATAATGGATAGATACCTGAAAGTTCATCATGTTGATTGTTCTCAACCATTCTGTGTCTAGATCTTTCTCCCAAGTGCCAACTCTGCATCACGAGTTCCCTCAGGCCAACTGCCAGATACAGAAGAAAAATTGTGCTACTTCCTTGATTCGATCCTGACTGAAACAGTTTTTGATACCAGAAATTATTCCAGAGGCCTGAAAATTCAGGATGAGAATCTCTACTTTGTACTCATATCTGATTACATTTGAAGACACTGATGTCTCTATCATCAGTATTTAAAGGGTCATTGGAGGCCCATGCCAAACAGTGGAAAAACAGTTACTTAAATTATCCTCTGTAGATACCTGTAATCATGTGCATGCTGAAAGTAAAGTTAAACATTAAGTAGTTTCTGACATAATAGACAAGTGAAAATAAATTGTATAAGGGCGTTCGGGGATTGCTTCTAAGAACACTTAGCAACATAGAGAAAAAATTTGCAGGTCCCAGAAAATTCTCAGGTTAAGGTCCACATTAGAGACCAGAAATCTATTATGACTATTTTGATAAAAATCCTTATCTCCTATAGCCACATGACAGAGATTTCTGGAAATTAAAACCAAAGACAAAAATATTGGTGGTTTCAATACAATGTGAATTAAATTTATTAGCATGCAGTACCTATAATGTTAAATTTAAGCATTAATAAGGAAAGGGTGGAATCCTGAAAATTAGGAAGGGTTTATGCAGCAAATTATGATGACACTTAGTATCTTGAAATGCATATTCCTTCTAAACAATGTTCATGTATAATAGCACTGTAAGTGATCAACCTTTTAGATTGGTTTTATATACATAACTTGTAACTGGAAGTTAAGTAGAATTTTCTTGGGTCCTGGCATTGGAATTAGAGCTTACAGTTAAAATCAAGATGCACTTAGAACCTCATGTTCTATGAAATCAACCAGCTATTGAATCATTTCAGCTTTCCTAGGACTTGTTAAAATGCTGCATGATTGCTTGTCATTCCATGGCATTCCTTTCATACTCTATGTAGGAATTTTTGGAGAGGGGATTGCGGTATTTATGCCAAGAAATTTGTCTCTTCCTTGAATTTGCATATTTAAGTAGAATTCAAAGAGAATCATACACACAAACTGGATTCCCTATAAAGGGGACAGAAATGACATTCCTCAGAAGGGTCTAATTGGGCAAGGTAATTGCTTATATGAACCCATACTCCATGACCAAGAGGGCAGGGGTACCTAGAGAGTTGTCTGGGCCGAGAAAAAAACAAAAGTATAGTGGGCTAGGGATATATTTGTACTTGTTTATCAACAATTCATGGATTTCCTGTAGATTAGGTGGACAATATGGAAGGTAGAGCTGGAATAACCATAAGGAACCCATTCAAAAGTGGTAAAAATCTGTGTTTTAGAGCAATGTATAGAAATAGTGTCAGAGGCTGACAGGAATTAGGAAGGTAAAATTAGTCAAGCTTGGTTAACAAAACTACAAAGAGAGGTGGTCCATAGGGAGCTCAGAAAAATTTAGCAATTTGCTATTAGAGTTCTGATCCACAGAGAACATCGGAGGCTGTAACAAGTAAAGGTGGGTGAAGTGCAGATTGCAGAACAATTCTATGAAGATTATCTTAGCTCATTCAGCCTGCTATAACAAAATATAGACGGGGTGTCTTATTAACGACAGATATTTGTTTCTTTCAGTTTGGAAGCTGAAAAATCTAACATCAAGAGTTCAGCAGACTGGATGCTTGTTAATAGCCCATTTCTAAATTTATAGATGGTACCTTTTAGCTGCGTTCACAAATGATGAAAAGAACTGGAGCCTCTTTCATAAGAGCAATAATCCCTAATCACCTCCGGAAAGCCCTGCCTCTTAAAACAATGATTTTGTGGATTAACATTTTAACATGTGAGTTTGATAGAGATACAAACATTCAGACTACAGCAAAAAGAAAAAAGGGAGAAGAATATTTGTATGAAATATGAGATTGATCTGGACTTGGAAAAATCAGGGAGACACAGTGGACTGGACTCAATTTGAAATTCAGTAAATCATTTGCTTTGAGTGTGGAGGGGAAGTGCGACTTGTTTCTAGTAAATAATATAAGGAAAAGGTAAAGAAATTTTGTATAACTTCTTTAAGTGCCAAAATATTGATTTAAGATTAATAATAGGGAAGAATATCTTGAGTGGGCCTAACTTAACCCGGTGAAAATCCTTAAAACAGGGACAGAGGGCTGTTGGGTTCAGAGACTATTTCTCTCCTTCTGACTTTGAAGGAGCCTGGAGAAATTGTTCTATGTCATCAAGAAATATACTCTGCCTACACCCACATGAGCTTGCAAGAGAACTCTGGGCCTCAAATAACTCCCCAGCCTGGCTGATACCTTGATTACAGCCTGAGAAGGGCCTGAGGAAAGACCCCAGCTAAGTTATGTTTGTACTCCAGGCCTAAGAAATAGTGAGATTATGAATGGCTCTTGTTTTTAGCCTCTGTGTTTGTGGTAAAGAGTTGTGCAGCAATAGAAAACTAATTCACAGATTTTAAAAATCACTTCCGATCATCACCAAAAGCCACGGTAAGCAACTAGTAATGCAAAAGAATGAAACCATGGATAATATTACTAAAATAATTATTGGTGGCAGGGATGAATCATAGCTGCACTACCTGTGAACAGCACTTGTGCAGATTCAGCAGCACTGCCACAGGGCTGACCGGAAGGACAAGCAGAGGTGAGAGGGAAACAGCATGCAGGTCACTCAGAAATCACCGAATTAAATACTCATTCCCATTTTCTGTATTCATTTTCATTCTGATCAACAACACAGAAATGACTGACACACACACACACACACACACACACACAACACACATACATACAAAATTAGTCATATTCCTTCCCTGTATTTATTTCTACTTTCTAATTGAGAAAGCGACGAGAATGTACTTAATTAGCAAAAGTCCTCACGGGCTCTCAGTTACAGGTGAACGCTAAAATAAAACAACTAAAACCACACACACATATGAAGAAAACTCACGCAGGGTCTCGTTAACAAACTGTAGAAGAATCAAGGAGGGCTGGGAAAACTGGAAAAACATTTGGAAAATAAAAATATCAATACGCAGAGCATTATGGCCAAGGGTAAATACTAAAGGGGTTTGGGAGAGCAAAGGAATCAGGCATATATAAATGTAAAAAATAAAACTATAAAAATATAGCTAACATAAAAATAATAAAACTGTAAAAATCTAGAGGAAAACATAGACGAACCACATTATGACCTAAAAATGTAAGCAATTGTTTTAAACTCATGGTTCAAAAATTGGAAAGATAAATAAAAATAATTATACGTTAGACTGCATGAAAATATAATAATTTTTTCTGCCAAACCATACCATGATGACAAAATACAACTTACATACTGAGCAAATATTTGCAGGTTGAAGAGGCACACCCACAGAGAGGCTATCTAAATAACCAATATGCATCCTAAAAGGCTCTTAATCTCATTGCTCCAGAGGCAAATGCAAAGTAAAACCATGTTGTTATAGTACTAGACACCGACCACAGTATCTAAAATTAAAACAAACAACAGAGCATTATCCATATCACATGTTCAAAAAGATGTGATGTTACTTCCACTCTCATACACTGTTGGTGGTAGGGAAAATGTGTACAATCACTGTGTTAAGTTGTATGAGAGTATCAACTAAAGCTTCATATTTGTCTCAGTTATTACTCTGTAATTGCACTACTAAGTGATTCTCAAGAGATACTAAAAGAAATACATGAGGTGCTTTTAGAGTCTTATTTTTAATAGCACCAAACTGGAAACATTCCAACAAAAGACTATCAACAAAAGACTGGAGAAACAAATTTTGGTATGCTTCTACAAGTGGCACAGCACATAAAAGCTACAAGCTAAAAATATACGACAAAATTAATAACATTTTGTTCTAAAATTTATTTTTATTGCTGAGTCTTCATCAATATTATGTGGAGTTTGAGTGAAAAATGAAATCTTGGCCGGGCGCGGTGGCTCACGCCTGTAATCCCAGCACTTTGGGAGGCCGAGGCGGGCGGATCACAAGGTCAGGAGATCGAGACCACGGTGAAACCCCGTCTCTACTAAAAATACAAAAAATTAGCCGGGCGCGGTTGTGGGCGCCTGTAGTCCCAGCTACTCGGGAGGCTGAGGCAGGAGAATGGCGTGAACCCGGGAGGCGGAGCTTGCAGTGAGCCGAGATCGCGCCACTGCACTCCAGCCTGGGCGACAGAGCGAGACTCCGTCTCAAAAAAAAAAAAAAAAAAAGAAAGAAAAATGAAATCTTGAAGCGTTACAGGAGCAAAGCCCTGTTGGAAGGAAACGTTTACAAAACAAATAAAAAAATAGTGATTTTCAAGGATTTGGCCAGATCATGAATTTTTTTTTCAAAAGTACAAAGAACTAAGTTCAAAATTTTTGAAAATGTAGAGTTCTCAAGAGTTTCAGAGAGCCTTACTGGGAGAAGACAGCCGGGCTGGGCAGAATGCAATCCCCAGGAACCTTGTGGTGCTGACATAAAGAAGCTTCTCAAAATGCTAAATTCAAACCTCTGAAGCATGGAAGGAAACCTATGAAGTTCTCTGTCAAAACTCCATCAAGATCCAGAATACATAAAGAACACTTACAATTCAACAATGTAAAGATAAATAACTCAACAAATAAATGGGCAAATTATTTCAATAGACTTTTCGAAAAAAAGTTGCATGACAAAGAATAAGCTCATGAAAGGATGCACAACATTGCTAATCATAAAGGAGATACAATGCAAAAACACAAAGATGGATGGAAGCTTTTCACCCACTAAAATGTATGCAATAAAAAAGACAGATAACAAGTATAATGATGTAGAAAAACTGGAACCTTATATTACTGGTGGGAATGTGAAGTGGTACAGTGGCTTTGGAAAATAATCTGACGGTTCCTCAAATGATATCACATATAAGACAGCAATTCTACACCTAGATATGTACCCAAGATAAATGAAAACATGTCTAAACAAAGGCGCGTACATGGATATTGATAGCTGCATTATTCCTTATGGCCCAAAGTGTCAACAATCTAAATGCCCATCAACTGATGAATGAATAAAGAAAATGTGTTGTATCTATACAATGGAATATAAAGAAATGAAGTAGTGTTCCATGCTACTACACAGATGATCCCTGAAAACATTAGGTAAAATAAACGAAGCCAGTCACAGAAGATAACATATTGAGTGATTTCGTTTATAAAAACATACATAATAGGAAAATTCATAATGTCAGAAATTTACAAATTAGTGACTATTGGTAGGAGTGGAGTATAGGATAGGGTGGGAAATGGGAAGTAACTTATGTTCTTGTTGTGGTGATGAATGTGTTCTGAAATTAGACATCGGTGCTGGTTGTACAATTTTGTGCATGTATCAAAACCCACCGGATTTCACATTTAAGGGGAGTAAGATGATGGTATTTGAAGTACGTATCAATAAAGCTATTACTAAACAAAAGGAGCACTACCTCAGGGGACCACGAATATGCCAGGAATTGAGTGAAGCCCATCAAGCAAATTGTGAAAGAAAATTGAGAAAGCAAATTCAGACTTGATTCAACTCAATGAATGATCAGTTGGATGTGTTTACACCCTTCATCCTATTGGCCTAAGGGAAAAGCTGGGACACAAGGAACTTAGACTTTAGTCTCTAAGGCTTTTTATACATACTGTAAGGCAGGAAAAGATACAATAAATGTGACTTATAATCAATAGAAAAATGAAATAGAAACAAAGGGAAAATTTAGATTACAGTTAAGCTGCAAGTATTTTTAAATAACTTTTGTAAATATTTTAGAGACAAAAGAGAGAATCAGAGATAAAACCATCCCATAAACTTAAATATATACATATATTTTAGTGAACTATATTAAAGATTGTAAAGCAAGTCTTTACAATCATATAAATATTTCAAGAAATATAAAACATAAAGCATATGTTATTTCATAATAGTGGAACTAGTAATAGGAGATACCAATAGAACTAAAATAAAGCAATGCTTATTTTAAGTTACTGTTCTAAAACTTCTGAGCAAATTTTTGAGGTACTTCTAAAAAGAGATTTATTCTCTTTTCTACCCTATTCATAAGATGAGGAAAACACTTTGTAAAGTTCATATAAGATCATGTTTAAAAGCTAAATTAAATTGAGACAATAAGTCATTATAAATTGTACCTGCAGAAGAGAATTGTTTAATAGATCTCTTTAGAAATTAATATTAATGACAATTAACCCTGGGGGATTGCTGAACTTAGTAATTTCATATAACTTTAGCTAATGTAAGAGGTATTTGTTAGTGTACTAAGGCTACCATGACAAAATAAAACAGACTGGATGGCTGAAACAACAGAAATTTATTTTTTTCTTGGTTCTGGAAATTGGAAGTCCAAGACCAGGTTTCAGCAGAGAAATGTTCTCCCGAGGCCTCTGTCCTTAGCTTGCAGATGGCCAACTTTGCACTGTGTCCTCTCCTGGCATTTCCTCTGCTGTCTCTTCCTCTTCTTCTAGTCCTATTGGATTAGAGCGTACCCTATTACCTCATTTTGCCTTAATTATTTCTAAACAAGACCTATCTCCAAGTACAGTCACTGAGGGTTAACATTTCAACATAGGAATTTTAAGGGGATACACTTCAGTCCATAACAGACTGTTAAGTACTAAAAATTGTGTCTTACCTTGGAACTTTATCAGCTAATGCAGATGAACCATACATAAATTTATACTAAAAAGTACATTGTTAACAGTTAACTTTGTGTATGTGAAGCAGAAAGCTTTATTCTTTCTGAGCAAGACTGTCAATGCAGTTTATTGTACTACACAATGGAACAATTACTAAAGATACATTATCAATTTCCATCATCTTTATTGAGGCATAACTTACATAGAAAAAAATTTGCATGTTTAATTTATAAAGTTGAAGTTTGGGCATCTGTAAATACTTGTGATACAATCACCACAATCAAGGTAGTAAACATATCCATCTGATGTGGTTT